CTAATGATTTTTGGCATAAAAGAAAAATGGATAATTTTGACCCATACAATGTATTGTTGGCTATTGCTACAAATATACCCCCAGCGACTTAAGACTGCTTTTGTGCTCCAGGGTCACATATGTTTTTTTGGTTTTTTTTGGTTTTTTTTTATTCTATACATAAGTCCAAATGTTCCTCACATTCACAAATGCACAAAAATATGGCTCGCCAAAAACTACATATTTTTATTGTATGCACTTTTATGCACTTTTCTTTCTAATATGATATCCAAGTACTAGATCAAATTGAAGTTGTTCAAAAGAAAAAAAAAAAAGGAATATTTACATCCTAGAGCTGATTATTCAAAAAATAACTGATTTAATCTTAAATACTGGTTTCTCTTCTGGCCAGCTGTGTCCCCGAGTAGTTCTAGAAAAAAAGAAAAAGAAAAAAAAAAACGTGTAATGCATAGTGCAGGATTCAAAGCCAAACATTTTAACATATGATAAGCACAGAAAGCCATTATTCCACAATTCCAGTATTCTAATCTCTTGCATCTCAGAGAGGGGTGGGGTTAAGGGTGTCATTATAATGAAACTTTGTGAGATCCCATTGAATGAATGACATATATATTTTTGTTCATATAAATACATACAAAGACAAGAAAAACAACAACAACATAGTAGTAAACATGCTTAATATTCAAGATTATGTCTGATTTACAGGGTCAGAAATGACCTTTTCTATTAAGGGGCAATATTTGCCCCAGGAATTATTTTACCTTTGTATGGGCAATTTTTATAATTGCCTTATTAAATGTATATGTGGAGTTTTTTTTTTATGTCAAATACTTCAAATCCCAATCACAACACTATAGGCTATTACCAATCAATTTTCTCAACATCAACAAAAGCCATCTTTACACTGCAAAGGTGGCACAGAAGCTGCATCTGAAGTAAATTCTAAATTAAAAAACAGGAACTTGTTACAGAGCAGGGCAATATCATGAAATCAACAAACTAATAAATAAATGTTGTTGATTATTCCTCTTGATACTGTAATTATGATACTGTTTTTGTACTGTTTATGAATTTGTTAACTTGCTTTACAGTGGCTGTAAAATAGTATTTTAGGTATGGGAATATCATAGTTTGAGTTTTGATATTTGGAATATGGTCATTGGACTACTTTTGGGCTATTGGCCAATGGGCTAGTTTTGTTACACAAACCTGGCAATCCTGTTTTATGGAATAGAACATCAAGACTTCACATTAGTTGTTTAACAGTATAGCATGGGGGGGAAAAATTGTTATTTAAACAGAGAAAAAAATATTGGTATATAAAAAAAGCGAGCAAACAACACTCCATGACTTCAGACTATTGTGTGTTATACACTTTTGCAAAAACTCTACACTGTAAAATTAATCTCGTACTTGCATTGTATCAGTACTCTGCTGTTTACAAAGAAACAGTTTGAGAGAATGTAGATTCAGAATTCAGTCAGTGAGCACGCACATTAAGCAACTGCAGCATTCTCCACGTTGACGAAAAAGACACGTGGACATTGGACATTGCATTCATGATTGGTTATAGTGCTCAAAGCTGCAAACTACGTGTAAAAAACTGATGCAACGTGAGCAAATCTAAATGCAATGCCAATCGACGTGTTTCATTTTCACATTTCACTTTAACCCATGCATCTTAGCTTTAACTTTAAGGCATCACATAAGGCAGGCATGGCTAATACTGGACAGGAGGAGCTGCTTTTTTAACTTTCAGGGGCGTTCAATCCATTTAAACTGCGGATGCTCTGCATACTCAAGCGAAATGACTTAGCGGATTGGCTAAATAATATTACAACGCGCAAGGAAAGCTTTGCCCAAGAGGAAAAATGATCTCGATTACCGAAAATGAAGATTTCTGAGGATTTTTATTGTTTCATTTGTTTTCCCTATGCTTGACAAATCTTGCGTGTATTTTTGTTTGTGTGTGTAAGAATGTGGCACTGCCACCTATTCTTGGCAACAGCCCTACTTTTAAATCGACACCTGCCTTGCACTTTATTTGTCGTATTATATTTAATTATGTAGCATACTTGGAATGTAAGAAAGTCACCGATTGTCATTGCCTTTTATATATACTAATTTGTGTTCATGGAAGCTTAATTAGCTTGCATCTATTGTAATCTTAATAGTTTCAAGTGATAATATTCAAAGTTAAAGGTGCTGTATGTTTTTTTTTTACTTGTTTCCTCTGAAAAACACTGCTACAAGCAGTTATTCTACTACAGTATATGATGTAAGTAATGTCAATGTAAGAGAAACAGACATGAAGAGGTTTATGATGATAAGATAATGATAAGAAAAATCCACACACACACACAGACACACATTGCTTTCCATGTTTTATGGGGACATTCCATAGACATAATGTTTTTTATACTGTAAAAACTGATTTTTTTTTGTCCCTTACCCCAACCCTACCCGTCATACAATATTTACAAAAAAAAACAAAAAAAAACAATTCCGTATGATTTATATGCTGTTTTTAAATTTAGCTGGACTAAAAATGTTCCCACAACAGTTTTGAAGGGGTTAATTGTGACTTGACATAATAGATTTAGCTTGCACAGGGGCCCTTTTTTTGCCCCCTTATCTTGAATTTGGGGAATTTGCCTCTGTGACCTGTCAAAAGAGAATTTAACATAATTTGCTTAACTTTTAATTTTATTTATTTATTTTTTTTTTTAATGTTGTGTTGAAATGTGATAAACCTCCAGTTTGGAAACATTGTTTCTGCTTGGGCTTAATTTACAGGGGCCCTTTTTTTGCCCCCTTATCTTGAATTTGGGGAATTTGCCTCTGTGACCTGTCAAAAGAGAATTTAACATAATTTGCTTAACTTTTAATTTTATTTATTAATTTTTTTTTTTAATGTTGTGTTGAAATGTGATAAACCTCCAGTTTGGAAACATTGTTTCTGCTTGGGCTTAATTTGATTTGGAAAGGATGTATCAACCTGATACTTTAATGCTAAGCATGTAATGAACGGCCAGCAAGCTCTACCAAACCCCTAAATGAACATGGTTAATAGAAATTCTGTATTCACAAATCTATGAACTCAAGTTGGCCATATAAATTGATTTTGTGGATTTCACATGCAAGGTCAGTCTGCATAACATTTGAATTAATAGTTGGTGTGATGTTGCCGTGTTCATATTTGTCCACCTCTGTAAGGGCTAGCTGCTACACAGTTGTTTACAGAGTGCCATACTGACCAAACAGAGAACATTTGCTTGGGTTTAGTGTTATTGTGACCAGAACCACAGTATCCATGTCTGTCGGCACACCTTTACCCACGTTCATGCTCTAGTGACCCGCTCGCTTGGTTTTTGCCTCCCAGTTCTCACTATGCTTCAGTGCTCAACAGGCCTGCCTCTGCTGGTACTTCACATCCCAGCAATCTCATTGTTCAATGGTCACATCAGAAACCTCCTCTGCCGTCATTATATTTTCTAAAAGCTCCACGATTATCATGTCTGGGTTTGGTATAGACAGAACTGACCTTATTTCATGTAGTGGACAACAACTGGAAGAAGTGACCCGGTGGCAACTTCTCTGAAACTGGCAGAATTTTAAATCCTGCTGATCCCACATCAGCATGTAATTGTCGTTCCCTGACAATGCACACTGAAGGGCCCATCAAATTTGAGATGAATCAAATGATGTATGATGGCTTGATGCATTAAAACCTTATGACTGTGGATTAGGATAATGGCCCGGTGTTGTTACGGTGATGCCAAGAAGATTCAAACAGCATCATTTGAATAAGCTCCTGTGGAAAGAGCCATCCTGGTGCAGATGTGATCCCATCAATTCTGAGTGAGTGAAAAAGGCTGTATCAGCATAGAGAGAGCCATTTTATTACCATTGCATTGCATTACTATAAATACTGGTCATGAAATGTTATTGCATCAGTGATTTTGTATCAAATAATCACGAAACCAAAATAAACAAGCATGTTTCATAAAAACACCCATATTTCATCCAAAAATATTGTGCATTATTTGCCAGTGCATAAACTTTTATTTCAGCATACATAACATGTTGCCTCATACACAGTTCTTTATGAAAATCTTTTGACTGGTAAGTGACCCGAATTAATTCACTGTTTGAGAATGCAATATTGTCTTCTGTAACAATATGACAAAGACAACAAAAACTAATAATGACAATGTCTTAATATTATACACTCTCATCCTAACTGTAAACAAGACAGCCATGAAATATAAACAAACACTTCTGAAATCGAACCTAGAAGCTATTTATAATGTTTTGATATTACATAAGATAAAAACTCTAAAATTTATTATTTTGTATTTAAATAGATGTTGGCTATATGCTTCAGTAAGCAAGCAACATGCTTTAAAACAACGCACAATAATTAATCGGCAAATATTATATAATGCCTAAAAATGATATTATCTTAATATTATACACTCTAGTCCTAACTGTAAACAAGACAGCCATAAAATGTAAACAAGTGAAAACTGTCACAAAAGCTGCTGAAATCTAACCTAGAAACCATTTTAATGTTTTGATATTACATAAGATAAACTCTAAAATTGACTATTTTGTATTTAAATGTCGCCTATAAGTTTAATTTAAAACAACGCTCATTAATTGGCAAATATTATGCAATGCATAAAAAGATCAGTAGTTGCACATTTAATTATGCATGTAAAGATATATTGATTAAAGTTTCATGAAATTCTCGGTTTTTGAATGTACATTAACTAATGATCAAAGTTTGAGCGTTTAAACGGATAAAATAGCACACCGACCATAACGCGAACTCAACCAGCAGAACATTTGCGCTTTTTCCCAAACATTTGGATAATTCCCTGACAACTCTGAATCGTTCTTCTAATCTCTCATAATGCTTTATTCGATCATTGTCAAAGTCCTTTGGTTCCATCTACTCCGCCTCTTTGAAAGCACTTTAGTTTTCCATCAGAGTGAGTCAGAAGAAGCGCAACCCCACTGAGGAACTCCAGCAAGACTTCACGCATAAAAGCTTCAGAATTTACGCACACAAGCCTCGCGACTGCACCAGCTCCTTTCGCACACATACATTATGGGACGTGCAACTAACACTAGTTGACAAGGGGACACTTGGATAGAGAGCGCGCGCAAAGCATGGCTTGGATACGCACATGTTTTTTCCTGTCTTGGTAAGTAGCAAAGTGCTTTTATCGGACTTTGCATGCGTGTTTATTTTTCTGCTTTGCTTGTTCGTGTGTGAAAATGGAAATAAAGTTTTGAGTCTGTTTACAGTGTTGGTCAGGTGTTGGCAAATCCGCCAACCGAGACGAGGATATATTTGGATAACATTACGCGCGTTTTGGACAGATTATTAGATGGATATGACAACAGACTCCGACCTGGATTTGGAGGTAGGCAAGTGCTGGAATCACTTTACATATTAAAGTCTTACTTTAGGGAGTTGAATCCAACTTTCACCGAAATTAAACGATTATAGACTGAGACTTCATCAAGTTCTTCATCAGAAACTGCCTTATCGCTTTGCAAGTTTATGTTGTTTAAAATATGTGTTATGAATAAACTAAGGATTTTTTTTCTTTCTTTCTTTTAAACTAATTTTATTTTATTATTTATTTATTTAAAAAATAAACTGTAGGTCCTGTCACAGAGGTTAAAACGGACATCTTTGTCACCAGCTTTGGTCCTGTTTCTGATGTGGAAATGGTATGTGAGTAAAGCAATTATATATATGATACATGCAAACATAAATCCACCGTAATTGCATGTTTTCTATGCCCACTGCCTCTAGTCATGTCGGCCCTGGCTTCATAATTCTGACATTTGTGCAGGATGTCATTACAGCAGTTTAGGGATTTTAATCTGGTTGACAATCCCTGACAGTGAGGGTCCCGGCTCGGCTTTCCTTCCTCTGTTACACACTACACTATTTTTCTACAATGTCCAAAGCCATGTGATCCACTGTGACAATCCGAAAGACAGTATAGATAAGTCTCCGCCAAGATTAGTGGGGGGAAAAAAAGATAAAAAATACCATTCCAGAGTGAATGTATACCAGCCTGAATCAGATACATACCCGATGACACTTTGCTGATGTGTTCACTCATAAAAAGGTATTGTGGGTTGCTGTTTATATATCTGCTTTTGCACATGCTCTGCACATGAAAAATTGATTTGTGTTGATTTCAAACTGCAGTCACAGAAACTACATCTTATAAAACCCTTAAAACCATTTCTCAGGAATACACAATGGATGTGTTTTTTCGGCAAACGTGGATAGACGACCGGCTGAAATTTGAGGGCCCCATTGAGATCCTGCGTCTCAACAACCTAATGGTCAGCAAGATCTGGACACCGGACACTTTCTTCCGAAATGGCAAACGTTCTATTTCGCACAACATGACCACTCCCAACAAGCTGTTCCGCATCATGCAGAACGGAACTATTCTGTACACCATGAGGTAACCTGCGTGCCAAAACATTTGCTCTCCAAGTCAAAGATGCACTGCACACTTGCTCTCTAAAATGGCAGTAGAAATGAAACACTTAATAACACACATTCTTTCTTAGCAGTCCACAAAACAATACATTGGATTCTATTATATACCATGCACTGGTTAACTTTAAATATGCAATGTATGCTTAACATTTTTAATGCTGATAATAAAAGTTGTAGAAGAAATTGTGTTAAAATCAGTGCAACGTTAAAGAGAGAGTTGTCATGATTGTCATCATTTATTCGCTTTCATGTTGTTCCAGACCTGTATTTTTTTTTTTCTGTGGAACACAAAAGATGATATTTTGAAGGATGTTGCAGTTTCTGGTAGCCATAGTATTTGTATTCCATACTATGGAAGTCAATGGCTACCAGTAACTGTTTGGTTACCAACATTCTTCAGTTATCTTTATTTGTGTTCAACTGGGGAAAGAACTCATACAGGTTTGGAACGACACAAGTGTGAGTAAATGATGACAGAATCCATTTATCTCTTTAATGCAAATGCAAATGAAGGATTTTTCCATATCGACTTTTAATGCTCACTGTAGAGTTTAACAAAATCATCTGTTATTTTACATACTGTAAATTAAAAGTGATGCTTTTATTGTTTTCAGGTTAACCATCAATGCTGAGTGTCCCATGCGGCTGATAAATTTTCCAATGGATGGACATTCATGTCCTTTGAAATTTGGCAGCTGTAAGTATGTTTGAAATGGCACATATTCACATTGCATGTATTTACTGGTATGACTGACTTCCATTTGAATGTGTGCCTAATATAGATGCATACCCAATGAGTGAGATTGTTTACACATGGAAGAAAGGGCCGTTATTTTCAGTGGAGGTTCCTCAGGAGAGTTCCAGTCTGCTACAGTATGATCTCATTGGACAGACGGTGTCTAGTGAGAGGCTGAAGTCAAACACAGGTATGAGCTTTGAGACATATGATTCAGTGACAAGATGTTTTCTGGTTTGCCGAGCACCAATTCTTAATGCAAACCTCTTAAAACATTGTCACGATTTCAATAAATCTTGAACACATGGGTTGAATATGTGCTGAAATGGATTTTTGTCTTGAATGTGTTCCTACAGAATCTATGGTTTGTAGTTTAGGATTGCCTATTCCACTGATCTCTCACAGGTGAATACATAGTCATGACGGTGTACTTCCACCTGCAGAGGAAAATGGGTTTCTTCTTGATCCAGACATACATCCCGTGCATTATGACGGTGATCCTAGCACAGGTCTCCTTCTGGATCGACAAGGAGTCAGTACCGGCCAGAACTGTGTTTGGTAAGCCACTGTATTTTATTTCCTTTTTAATTGTTCATCTGTGGGGCTCTTTGTGCAGGCACCAATATGCTAATACTAAAGTGCATGGCATTTTACAGTATGCATACAAAATCAGATTTGAAATGAGACCTTGTATTTTAGACCTAGTGAGCTGCAGCATTTTAAGGCACAATAGATCATAGTTTCCTGACATTAAGGCTGTTCTAAAAGGTAGGCAGCAACAATATGTCTTCTAAGATCATTATGACCTTCGTTTGGCCAAGTTTCAATGTATTCCTCATGCAGAATGCAGTCCTAGCATGCATTGCAACAAGCTCAGTGAAAACAATCCAGGCAGTGAACGAAGTGATAGAAATCGCTTAAACAGACTGTTGACACTACTGAATCATTTTACTAAGGCTATTTTATTGTAGGGGAAGTCGTGGCCTAATGGTTAGAGAGTCAGACTCGTAACCCAAGGTTGTGGGTTCGAGCCTCGTACCGGCAGGGATTGTAGGTGGGGGGAGTGAATGTACAGCCCTCTCTTCCACCTTCAATACCACGACTGAGGTGCTGCGGCACCAAACCCCCAACTGCTCCCCGGGTGCCGCAGCAAACAAATGGCTGCCCACTGCTCCGGGTGTGTGTTCACTGCTGTGTGTGTGTGCACTTTGGATGGGATAAATGCAGAGCACTAATTCCGAGTATGGGTCACCATACTTGGCCACATGTCACGTCACTTTCACTGTCACTAGACTGTTTTACCTATTTGTTCTTCATTTATAGTGAACACACTAACGCTGAACATTGTAAGTTGCCGCTGATGTCGAATATGAGGATGCTGTCTATGTAGGCTGTAGAGTGCAAAGCAGTTCACTAAGTTCTGGGACCGAGCCACAGAAAGCAGAAGGTGTTTGTATTTTAAATACACCAGATTTGAAACAAATGGATCTATACTGGTACAGTACAATTTAAAGTGAAGAGTTGGGCATTGCGAGACTGATACTGAAAGTATAATTGTTATACTCATAAAAATGGTGCCATCATAAATATACGTCAAAGTCTTTCTTCATAAACAGAAAAGAAACCAGATGAATTTGCTAAGCAGCCTTTTATAACTTGATGAGATGATGCACATTTTCTGTTGCTTTTTTATGTAGATCTCTATTGCTTCATTATCTTAATGCACTCTTCTTGGCAGCTGTTGGCAATGGTCCTAAATCACTTAAAGTGCCTTGGCCCGTGTTCTGTGGTGGTGTAGGATAATAGCAAACATACTGAGATCCTCTTCCTTGCCTTCCTCTGTTTGCCCTCATTTCCAAACAGAAACATGAGAAGAAGAATAAATTTTTCAGTGGATGCAAGTATATATTTTTACTGTTATTTTAACTTTGAATGAACCAGACTGTTCAGGCTCTTAACTCTTACTTTGTCCTCATTGCTTTTTCAGCTGATTAATTTATATATATAAATTATATATCATCTGTCTTTGTGGTCTCCCGCATGTGTTTGAATGGGACCATTAGAATGAGCTTATTGGGCAATTAGGAGTGTATCAGTCTATAACCTACAGCTAATGTTTTTTCTCTTTATGAAAAACACATCAGCATGAAGCAATTAAAGCCCTTGCAAGCTGTCATATTCCATTTGTGTAAGATGGTAAAACGTTTTTGGAAACATATTTGAATTTTCTGAGGAAATGTGTCTTGTTTGGAGCACTATATACTCTACCAGGAATCTATGCAAAGATTGAGATAATAAAGATGTTTTGAACTGCAGACACCCAAAACTGAACATTCTGTCATAATTTCCTCACCCTCAAGTCATTTTTGAACACAAAAGAAGATATTTTGAAGATTGTGTGTAACCAAACACTGGACGGTAGCCAATTACTTCCATAGTACAGAAAACACATTCTTCAAAATATCTTCTTTTGTGTTCAACAGAAGATAGAGATTCATGCAGGTTTGGAACAATACAAAGCTGAGTAAATGATGTCAGAATTTGCATTTTTGGGCGAACTATCTCTTTAAATGGGTTAATTGGGATACGTTCATGTTTTGCTGATAAAGTCACAACTTTAGTATAAAAATGTCTCATGTCAGAGGAGTTGTTTCTGCAAGTAAACACTGCTCATGTGGAGAGGTGAGCAACCTACAGCGTGTTTCTCAGTTCTGTCTCAGTTCTGAGGTGAAAGTGTTATTCCTGTGAAAAGAGGTGTGAAAGAAAACTAAATACAGTGTAAAAAAGAAACGCAGTGAGAGTTCTAACAAATGACTTGCTTTAGAGAGTAGAGATGAATAGGCAGAGGCACTCACTGTCCATATCCATTGTAGTTGCTCTACATCACAATCTTCTTCCACCAAAAGCTGAAATAACTCAGAGCATCGGGTTCAGAGATGTAATTGACTGAGGTTAATTTGGACCAACTTTTTGCCCTTAAAAGCATAATTTTACCCCTAGGAGTTGTGTTTGTGCCTTTGCTTTATACATTTCCATTCATGCTCAGGATCCGTTAAACGTGTTCTCTTGTAAATAGGATCTGTCTAGATATTAACCTTTGATTTGAAGCTGAAGTTGAATATTCAGAGTTTTTTTTTTTTTTGTAATTAGATTGTGGAGATGAAAGCTCAAGTTATATTTATCTGTGAAAGACATCAGTTTGAGGTTGAAAAGAGTGAATGAGCTATGCTGATATTTATATGAGTGTCAGTTATGAGATCAGAGTTAGTCCATTGACATATTCAAGAGCATTGCTTTTAGACATAAAAATATTTTTATGTCCCATCTGTAAGCAATTATACTTTCCTGCATTTCCCAAAAGCATTGCATGATTGTAGAGATCATTGGTGCATGTGGTTTCTGCGATCTGCTTAGGCTAATGATGATTTTGGGAAACACAGCTCTGTGTATTGGACATCTATCAGATTCTATTGAACACCTGAGAAAAGAGCTGTTCAAAAAAGATAGTTCTCGCCAAGTGTGATAACTGGCGGGGTATTCTCTCGGGACCTGGAAAGGTATTTTCTATTGTCCTTCTAAATGGCCTCCGACGAGCTGCCTTAGAGATCAACAAGCGGGCTTCCGAAGGGGCAGATCCTGCATTGAGCAGATTTTTGCTGTGCGATAAGTGATCAAACAATCGCTGGAATACCAACAACGGATCTCACTGAACTTTATCGACTTTGTCAAGGCCTTTGTTTTATTGCACCAAGAAACGCTATGGAAGATATAGCCCGGGCTTATGGAATTTCATCTCGATTTGTAGACATCTTTCGCAACCTTTACCAAGGTTCTCAATGTTGTGTACTGATAACTGATTTCTTTGCGATTGAAACTGGCGTACCACAAGGGTGTGTGCTTTCACCGATGTTATTCCGACCTACACATCAGTATACCCTGGACAGTTGGTAATCTCTTCCTTGCCGATCTCGACTTTGTCGATGATATTGTGATTCTCAGCCCGACTCAAACTGCCCTGCGAGACCTCACTATGGCCCTAGAAAATCAAGCGGCCAGTGCTGGACTCCGAATTAACGGACAGAAGACTAAAGTCGTTCGCATCGGTTATGTAAACTCGAGAGTACCAATTACAATCAATGGGAAAAAAGTGGAGGAAGTTGCAAACTTCACTTATCTTGGCAGTGTGGCCTAATGGATAGAGAGTCAGACTTGTAACCCGAAGGTTGCGGGTTCGAGTCTCAGATCCGGCAGGGATTGTAGGTGGGGGGAGTGAACGTACAGCGCTCTCTTCCACCCTCAATACCACGACTGAGGTGAGACCCTTGAGCAAGGCACCGGCTGCCCACTGCTCCGGGTGTGTGTTCACGGTGTGTGTGTGTGTGTGTGTGTTCACTACTGTGTGTGTGCACTTGGATGGGTTAAATGCAGAGCACAAATTCCGAGTACAGGTCACCATACTTGGCCACACGTCACGTCACTTTCACTTTCAGTGTCGTCTCTTAAAATGGGGATGCAGAACGAGATGTCATCCGCTGCATCGGTGAAGCATCTGCCGTGTTCCAGCGACTTCGTCCAATCTGGAACTTGCCTTCCCTCTCTCTGCAGATTAAACTGCGACTCCTGGCTACGATCGTTGTGCCGACAGCGACCTACTCGTGCGAGACCTGGAAGATGACTGAAACCATTGCTCGAAAGTTGGACATTTTCCACCTCCGTTGTTTGCGACGCATCCTTAAGATCACTTACCGGGGCCATGTCACAAACATGGAAGTATACCGTCGCGCCTACACACAGCCCCTCTCCGCGACAGTCACCGAACGCCGTTTTCAATTCGCCGGACACGTCTTACGCCTTCCTGACCATCGGATACTCAAGATGGCAAGATCCTGGCGCCCTGCAAAAGGCAAATGAAAACAAGGACGCCCAAAAGTCACCTGGCGAAGAACTTTTATGGAAGATCTGCGAACGGAAAGGTAAGGTTATTCACTGAAAATATTCCCCTCTGCTCTCAAATCTCATGTGCAATTCGAATGTGTTCATATTCAGTTGTGACACATCAGTTCTGAGTCACACAAGAACCAATTAAGTTTGGCATCATTACTGTTCAACCTGGCATCACATGCTTCCACCATATTTGAATGTATGCAAGTGTGAATGAGATCTGTGGCAAAGGAAATGATTATCAGTGACACTGTAACACATTATAGTCTTTCCCTCACAAAAAGCTATTGTATGTCATCAAAATACTTGGAATATAGAGCATGTGCTCTGTGAACTATTATTATTTTATGGCACCTTTTGTCATTTAGAGCTTGACAACCCTTGTTCACCATTCAGACAATCACACAGGTTTTGAATTACATGAGAGTTAATAGTGTTTCTATAAGTTTATTCAGCTCTGTCTATAGTGAATTTTATTACTGGGTGCTACAAGCAAACCTGATCCCTGACAGCTCAGATTCCCATAAGGTCCATTTATAATGGACTCCTGTTTTGTCTCTATAGGGCTCAGTCATCTAGAATCAAGCTTTGTGCTTGCCATAAAATGTCGATGTCTCTATTAAGGCCTGGGTATGTTTCATCGTTACTGTCCTCATAGCAGGTACTCCCTCTCTTGAATGTAGTCTCTTCTTGGGTGAGAAAACGTATCTAATATCTGCTCGACCCATTGACCATGAGCTGCCCTATAGATCACCCACAGCAGGCCAACAAAAACACAGCAGGCCAGTCCTGATGTGGAGAGCTCGGCAGATTGGATCAGCAACACCTTTGCCCTTAAAGTAACAGGTTTTGAGAAGGTGACGCAGAAAGGGTGAAAAACTCAGAGAGACCAGATTTGTTTTACTTATGTGAGATGTGTGTGTGTGTGTGTGTATAAAGTAAAGTGACAGCATATGACTTGCTATGTCAGAACAGAAAATAATGGGAGTTGCAACCCAGGCCTCTACCATTTTTTCTCAGTCTGTTATGAAAAGATGTCTTCTAATCGTACCCAAATATCAGGTCGTTTTCAGTGTTTGTACTCCTTTGAGTAAGGTAAACAGCAGAACTACAGTCATCTTGTACCTCAGTCTTCACATCTTATGGACAATTTTTTCTTGCCCATCTGATATTGAATTCCAGTTCACTTGAAATTGGAAGGCTTTTCTGGCAGAATGATTTGAATGAATGAATGAATGAATGTTCTTGGGAATGTATGTTTTATCTCATGTTTAATGATTATTTATTATTCAGAAGCCCTAGTGGTACTAAACAGGCACTATTTTGAAGTAAGCAGCTTATTCCTCACTAATTTATGAATTCATTGTAATGCAATGAATGGCATTGAAATAAATCAGTAATCTAGACAGCTATGAGGATACAATGTGAAATCGCATTATATTTTTCTATTGTTTTGTATGTATAATTTGTATACATACAAAAATATAATGCAAATTAAATATTTATGTGGGGGAGAGAAAAAAAAACTGAAGATATTGGGAAAAATATCTAACACAATATTGTTCCAAACATACAATAATGAACTGAATGAAATATAAAAAGGCCATTCTTGTCTCATAAAATAAAAATCCCTTGCCTTTGGGTTACTATTTTATAAATATATTTTATTAAATGAATCAACACTTGACAAATAGATGTGTTGCTTTAGATGTAAAATAAATCATCACAAAGCTTATTAAATAATGTTTTCTGATATCTTTTTGGGCAAATCGCTTTGAATCTCAAAGGCTTTTCAGCCCTTACTGAACTAATGCCTATTATTTATCCTGAAGCTATTCCATGGGAGTTCATGCAGAGCTTTGAGTAAATGACCTATTCAATAGAGCCAAAACACACCGGCGGCCCATTGGTCTCTATGATCCATTATAAAATGACTGTAACAACAACAACAAGAGTACAGGAAAGATGCGAACCAAGAGACAGAACTGAGTCCACCAACATGACATCCATAGAACAACAAGGCCAGACCAGAAACACAAGGGCTGTTTATACAAATGAGGTAATAGATTAATTAAGAACCTATGCAAACAATCAGGGAAAGCATGAACACAAGGCAAAACTACAAATTAAGAGTCCACATAACAAAACACTTCTCTTGTTGGACTTGAGATGTTATATCACAGCAACTAGAAAGATATAGGTTTCAAAAGTTGTATCTTCTTTATAACGCGGTATTTCCTTTTTTATTATTTATATATTTATCCAGTTATTTTTATTCTATTTATATTGTATCTAGATTCTGTGTTTGATTTCTATCATCTTGAACCCTACTGGGGTAGGATAGGTTTGGGATGGTTTCTAAGTTTGTATAGTTGCTTTGGAAAAAGAAGAAAGAAAGAATGCTATAGCTTTCGTACTGCAGCTTTCATAATTACTATTACAAAGTGCAAATGGCAACCAAATGACTAATTGGCCTTAATTTGAATTTGTAGTAACACCATTTTTACAGTCTTTTACCATTAAATTCATGGTCATTTTTTACATAATGAAAAAAAAAAGGTTTATGTCCTTAAATTTGTGTTGCCTTAGACAGTGTCATTAGTCTGATGAAATGCATTAGCAAAATATTTTAAATGCTCCTAGACAATTTTCCGTAACAGTTAAGTTTAGGGACCAGTTCTCACTGTTAACTAGTTGCTTATTAGCATGCATGTTGACTGTTCACTAGTACTTATAAAGCACATATTAATGTCTTATTCTCTATGAGCATATCCCTTAATCCACTCCATACCTAAATCTAACAACTACCTCACTAACTAAAATTAACTCAACAGCAAATTAGCAGTTTATTGGGGTAAAGTCATAGTTAATAATTAGCTAATAGTGTGAACGTATTTAAAATTTTCCAAATATGAGTTCATCATCATTCAGAAGGCTTTTAACCATTTTGGGTGTCAGTTGTGAATAATAACAATGACAGAATTTTCATTTTTGAATGAATGAATCGTCATTCATGTTTAGAATTGTGTTGAACTGAGGCAAAGTTTAACCTAATGAACTGAGACTGAGAACAGAAATCTTTACCAAGACTTTCTAAGATCAGTCAAGCTAACTGGATTTTGTGTTTATGTGTTCCCGACAGGCATCACCACAGTACTAACCATGACCACGCTGAGCATTAGCGCTCGTCACTCGTTACCCAAGGTCTCCTATGCCACCGCCATGGACTGGTTCATCGCCGTCTGCTTCGCGTTCGTCTTCTCAGCCCTTATCGAGTTCGCTGCTGTCAACTATTTCTCCACCTTGCAGGCCAATAAGGAACTTCGGCGGGCCAACATGGCCTATGCTGCGGCCGGAAGTGATGGAGAAGTTTCTACGGTAATTATTTGTGTCTCCATTCATTCCAGCCTCTCTTCTCTCTCCCTTTCATGGTTCGCTCTCGTCTTAGCTGATAACAGGCACACTAGACGAAAGGAGACAGCCAGTGGCCTCCCTAGCCATTTTACTGCTGCAGATTATATAATCAGTTCAACGTAGCAAAACATCCAAGCGAAAGCATGCCAGGCTCAAAGCGAGGGGATCTATCCTCTGTGTCTCGCATGATTGCTGGAGGCGTTAGACACAATGCCATCGTACTCTTGCCCGGAGTGAGTAAATTAATGTGTGAAGTCACAGTTCCGTCGCATTGTAAAGTCGCAGGCGTAATGACAGAGACTGTGGCTCGGATTTGTTCAGAATTGTAGGAGTTTGGAAGTACTTCTTCTGACTTAGGTTTGCTCAGCTCAACATTGACTTCATTAAGACTTCCATTGGCTTCTAGGCGGTGTAAAAACAACTCTACAGTAATTGGCTCATAGTGTTTTGTACACCAGTGTTATTTGCACTATTGCCAGATAATACCTTTTCCAGCAGGTTTCCTGAATACTCCTCTATTAATAGGACAAACTGATAGGCTTGTCCCAATCTCAGCCCACTGGTTGAGACAATGTTGTCCTGGCTGGGATGCTTAAATGTTTTGAGTGGGGATCAACCTACAAATGGCATTTTACATTCATTTGGGGTCAGCCTTTAATTTGGGTATCAATTCTCACTATTAACTAACTATTAACCCTAGCTTTTGTTTCATTAAGATCTTAATCGGCTGCTTATTAATAGTTAGTAAGGTAGTTGTTAAGTTTAGGTATGGGGTCGGGTTAAGGGATCTAAAATATGCAGAATAAGACATTAACATGTACTTTATAAGTACTCATAAACAGCCAATATACTAGTAATATGCATGCTAATAAACAACTAGTGAGAATTGGTGCCTAAACTGAAGTGTTAGATTTTCTCAATATTTAGATTTTTTTGCACCCTCAGATTCCAGATTTTCAAATAGTTGTATCTCAGCCAAATATTGTCCTATCCTAACAAACCATACATCAATGGAAAGCTTATTTATTCATGATGTATAAATCTCAATTTTAAAAAATTGACCCTTATGACTGGTTTTGTGCTCCAGGGTCACATATGATGGCTCTTTTGGAGAACAGTGCAATGGTGCACATTCATGAACTACATGAGACGGGACACAAGTGTGTGAACGTCCCATTGCCTTGGGTATTTAGCCTGAGTTAGGTGCTGCCTGTTGCGGTGTCAAAAATAGCTGCGGTCTTATGGCAGCGTGAGCCAGGTGCTCCCTGGGCGACACAGTGATCTGCAGCTGACACTCACAGCTTGGAAACCTGCTCAACGATGGAACCGAGTCAAAGCTGTTGCTCCATGCCAAAACTTTCCCAAGCCGGAAAAGGGCTGAGGCGCTGTGAATAAAAGCCATAAATAACCTTGTTCACTCAGAGCAAAGACTAATTAAAGTTCATTTTACAGATGTTATTGTTGCCCACATGCTCTAAATATCACATTTAGCAGTTATGACCTCTTAATAATGTTACATTATTACAAAAAAAATTGCTATGTTGCATACAACAGTTCGGTAACACTTTAGTTTAGGGACCAATTCTCACTATTAACTAGTTTATTAGCATGCATATTACTAGCATGTTAGCTGTTAACTAGTACTTATAAAGCACGTATTAATGCCTTATTCTGCATTTTGGATCCCATAATCCACCCCATACCTAAACTTAACAACTACCTTACTAACTATTAATAAGCAGCAAATAAAGAGTTTATTGAGGCAAAAGTCGTAGTTAATAGTTTGTTAGTAGTGAGAATTGGACCTTAATATAAAGTGAGACCAACAATTCTTTACAGAGACATTAACTGGTTGAAGATGGCGAGTTAGCCTCCAGGATAACATAACATAACATATAACATAACATAATAACATAAAACATAACATATAACATAACATAACATAACATAATAACATAAAACATAACATAACAAAACATAACATAACATAAAACATAACATAAAAACATAACATAAAAACATAAAATAAAATAAGCTTTAGATCATGGTGTTAGAATATACATCGGATCCTTGAAATAAATATATGGCCAAAGAATAGCATAGTGCATCAATTTACAATGTATATAAAATTGGAAAATGCATATTTTTAATGGATCCCTTTTTATGAAGTTTGCTTTAATGCAGCCGTATAAATCACACAACTCTTCAAGACTAGCCAATATTGCTACTACATCACTAAACAACCCTCCCTAAAGTGTTTTTTTTTTCTGTTACAACAAATTTACCTTTGCAACAAAATCAAAAGAAACACTACCAGGGTGAATATTATTATTTCCGTGCTGTATTTGTTTGTTTGTGTCACTGGAGCAAAAAGGATCACTGTAATAACATTGTCTGTGGTCTGTCATTACACCAGCTGCACTGTTTCCTTTCTAGTCTGCGTTCCAGGCTTAAATGTGAAAAGCGTCACTTTGATAACTGTTCGCTTGTCCTCGTGTCACAAATGAATATGTGTGTGTGTGTGTAGAATCCTCTGGACCCTGCAGGTGTGCTGAAGAAAAGGCTGAACTCTCTCTCTCCAAGAGATGCTCCTGACAGGTTCTCCAGAGCACCACAGCCTGATCTCCATCAGCAAGGCTCCACTGTCCCTGCCAACAACATGCTGGCAACTAGTATTATTGACAAGTACTCTCGCATCCTTTTTCCGCTGTCCTTCGGGGCCTTCAACCTGGTCTACTGGATTGTCTATCTCACCAAAGACACCATGGAGTCCAGGTAGGAATCTGCTCTGTTGGTTCGGTGGAGCTTCATTTTTTTTAAGAATATAAATAACTGTGCAGGTCAAAAATATAGCTTTTTTTTTTTTTTTGACACGGATGGTCTAGGCTGTGTGCAACTTTTATTAATCAGAGTAAAATTGCAGTGGATGCATATCAGAAACACACAGAAACAATTTGGCTGCATTGTGTTTTGTACCGTCACTGAAAGTGGAGTGTGTGTCTGTTGCTCTAAAGATCATTGCCAGTCTAGGTGGATGTCGTTTGACTAGAGAAAAGCTTTAAGCATGTACTGAATTGAAATGGCACAAATAGAAAAAGGACAGGAGAATACATTGTTATATTGAGTTCCTCCCCAGTCCAAAAAGAGCATTCAGTAATAACTAAGCTGCAAAAAAAATCTCATTCGCAAGTCTTTGAACCATATTTACACATTGGTAGGGCTTATTGGTTCATAATGGACCCTTTTCTCGGACTGTGATCACTTCCATTTCTGAAAACCAATGTGAAATGTGAAAAGTGTCCATGAGGAGGATAGCTATTAATCGTCACCTCTCATTTCCCACGAAAAGAAAGTAATTACATAGAATCACAGCAGCAATAAATAAATGAATAAAGGGACTATTTATTTCTAAAGGTCAGAAAGAGGTGATGGAAACAGTCCATCATTTGCTCTTGCCATTACATAATGTCTCAAAGAAGTCAAACCTTGATTTAGTCTCAGAGCGGGACAGTGTGTTATCAAACTCCTAAAGCCACTAGAACTCAGCACAAGTACAGTACACCGTCCTGAACTGTGTTATGATACTGTTGCACTGCTATAGAGAGAGACAGAAAGATGCTACAGTATAATCTACTATTGTATGCTTGGCTGTTCGGCACAGTTGGGGCAGTCCTTCACAAATGAATTAGATGAAACAGTATGAATTAGATGTGTCAGTGACTGAATAGAATTAAGAGATTTATTAATGACTTCTGTGCTGCTGAACAGAAGAAGATTTTTGATTTGTTATGATAGGACGTGTATATTTAATAGAGATTTAATTCCTGGCCAATGCTGAGGCTAATTTAGGGTTTCATGGGGAGAAAATCATATTTTTCTCCTAAAGCCATGATCACTTATCATCTGATAATAGGAGTGCTGTTTCTGAGCAAGATCGGAAATTCAAGAAACGTATTCCTTAAAGTAATAGCTCACCCAAATTTTTAAATAAATAAATAATGAAAAGAAGAAGAAATTCTTAAATGATTAGCTCAACCATGTTATTCTAAAATTGTATGCTGTTATTTTTACATGAAAAATGGTAAATAATTTTAAAGAATCTTCATGCAGATTCCTTCCATATGACTATATGACTATAAAAAAAATGCTATAAAATATCATGCATCTAGTCCATAAGAGTCATGGATATATTTCAAGTCTTCCGAAGCCATATGATAGCTCAATGTGAGAAACAGACCAAAATTATCTCAAAATGCTCCGAATGTCATTCTGTGTTCAGTTACGGGACACACAAGAACCCATGCTGCTGTGCTGTTTCTGTGCAGCATTTGTCAGATATTCACGTCGAGATAAATACGATTTCAGAGTTTAGGCAGAGGGGAAGATTATCATACAATAACGACTTAAATTCCAGTCTGTTCCTAAGGCCATGACACACCAAGCCGACAGGGCACACACAGAACGGTCTTCATCTTCTCTGCGCATATGTGAATATTTTCATATTCTAGTCTGGAATGAGAAAGATGAAGACGAACTCATCGTCATGATTCATATTCAAAACCGTAAGCAAGAGCTGCTTAGTTTATGGCTTGTATATCCACCGTCCTAGTTTCGATTCCCCTTCTTGAATGACGCATATAGACGACTGCCACCTGCTGGTGTAGACAGGTATTTCCAGGTATTTTCTCATGCAGACACAGAACGTACAGTATATGCTAGTTAGCCGTCGGCTGTAGTCTTTGTGGTGTGTTTATACACGACTTTTAGGCACAGATGCAGGCGACGTTGGGCGACATCTCAATCGGCTTTCGTTGCTGCTAGTTCTTTGATGTGGGGTTGGTGTGTCACAGGCTTAAACCTTCCTCGCTTGTTTTCCTCTGTTTTGATTCCGCTGGATTATCTTCTCCTTCTAATAAAGCCTGCAATTAGATCCACCACTTGTGAGGAACTCTAATGTATGTATGGGTTAAAGCAGTTAAGTTTTTTTTTTTTACTTGAATAAAACCAGTCAATTTAGATGCCATTAAACACATTTAGGGAAACTCAGTTCAATTCAATTTATATGGTTACACTTTATTTCGATAGTCCACTTTAGACATTCTACTAACTATAAGTAACTTTGTAACTACATGTCAACTACATGTCAACTAATTCTCATTAATCTGCAACTACATGTCTACTAACTCTCAGAGTAGACTGGTAGGGTAGGTTTAGGGTTAGTAGAATGTTGACAAAGAAAGTGTTAGAAGATATTAAGCAGACAGTCTACTAATACTCTACTAACTGCTAGTTGACATGTAGTTGCAAAGTTACTTACTGTTAATAGAATGTCTAAAGTGGACTATCGAAATAAAGTGTTATCTAATATTTAACTAACCTCATTGTATTCATTATTCTACATGAAAAATCGGCAACACTTTAGTTTAGAGACCAATTCTCACTATTATTAACTAACTGTTGCTTATTAGCATGCATATTATTACCATATTGGCTGTTTATTAATACTTTTAAAGCACATATTCTGCATGTTTGTCTCGAGCAAGAGACTGTATGACATTGGCATTACATGATTTGACTGATTTTTAGACTGATTAACCGCTGGCCAAATTCAAAAACGAAATTAAAATTAAATCATCTTTGAGAGCAAGGGGCGGCCCCCTGGTGTTTCGGGGGCCCTACGCAGCTTGCATACTTTGCGTATAGGGAGGATCGGCTCCGTGTGTAATTTACGTTGTAGAACAAAACGTAGAAGTATCGTCAAGTTATGTTTACCACAGGCTTTATTTAAACCCCATTATAAAACCCCATAGGAAAATCTCGAATTACTCTTCCGGGTTCTGACGTCATAGTTCCCCAACTCTATTGGACGTTAAAATAAAGTGTGACCGAAAAAAACCCATTGTAGTTTAAATATCTCACCTGAGCTAATAAATTAAAATGTTGGTAACACTTTAGAATAGGGAACACTCATTCACTATTAACTACGACTTTTCACTCAATAAATTTCTAATGTGCTGCTTATTAATAGTTAGTAAGGTAGTTGTTAAGTTTAGGTATTGGGTAGAATAAGGTCATGTAGAATAAGGCATTAATATGTGCTTAATTACTACTAATAAATGGCTAATATTCTAGTAATATGCATGCTAATAAGCAACTAGTTAAGAGACCCTAAAATAAAGTGTTACGGAAATGTTTAAGAGTTGCTGTGCTGAAATGTTTTTGAAAACTGAGTCATTGTTTTCATAATATTCTAGACATAAATAGTGTAAAAGTCTAATTTGGTCATGTCGAAAATGTGAAAGACTTTTGTTCCAAGAAGTTAATTTACATTTGGCTTTTCGCTCACAAACTGAACGTGGGTCAGGTTTTCCCTGTCCTCATGTCACCTTTCTCTTCTCAAATCCAGAGGGAAAAAAATGAAAGCAAAGGCCTCAAAGCCTCCATGAAAGCGCTGCCACGGGACAAAGGGAAAATATGAGATATCTCCTCTCTCTCAGTGTGTCTGACACAGAAATCGTAGTGGGCACTGCCAGCCTGCCGGTGGCTGTTTAATGAATAGTTCATTCAGGAACTGACATTAAGGCTGGCTGGTGTGTATGCGGCAGTTTCACAGAAGCTACCTGCGGGTGATAAGCTCTTCGCTTTATTGCCCACTGGAGTGCCTGACGCTTTCCTCATAAATCAAAGGCAATAAATGTCAGAGCAGCCCAAAATCCCCCATTTTCCCATCTTCACGCACGCCTTTGCCATAACTTTGGTGTAATGATCATTCAATTACTGCCCATCTACGATGTCAGGAAATGTTGGATGTGAGAACCAGACACCCAGATTTATCATATCTTTATGGGTTCACACTCACATAGCACAGTCTGAGGTACTGTAGTAGATGTTTGTATTTATGTGTTTCTGAATGCATTTGTTACATATGTCTTTCCAGGGCATCCAATTGATTGATTGATTGATTGATTGATTGATTGAAAGTATATATTGATATATTTTAAGTGCTCAGGGTACTTACGCTTGTGTTTATGTATTTATTTATTTTGAGCGCCATACTAACATGATTTATCTGTAATAAAGAATGTATTATGCCGTGGCTGGATCTTCCATTAGGACAATGATCCAAAACAAACATCAAAATCAACACAAAAATGGGTCACTGAGCACAAAATGAAGATTCTGCCATGGCAATTCCAGTCCATCCCCTGGCCTGAGCCCTATAGAAAATGAGTGGAGTGAACTGAAGAGGAGAACAGGGATTAAAGTTTTCCATCGCTACGACAGATTTCCATCAATTGGAAAAAAATGAGGGGAAAAGAAACATGTAGCATGCAACATTGCTGTTGTTGTTGTTCTGCCGGCACACCAAAAATCATCCCCGCCACGGCTGCAGCTTCTCGGTGACACAGAGCAGGACTTTAAATTTCGGCACGGGATTGCGGCTATTAATAATAAATCTATTCATTCCCGCAGGTTCTGTGCTTCTAAAGCGATGATAGATGATGGAACGTATCATTTGCATGTGCTTTTGAGTCTTGCTTATTTAAAGTGAAAGAGAACTCACGCGCGCGCTCTCTTACAGACCATTTTCTGTGCGCCCACAGATCGCGATAAAGTGACAGCTTTTAAAGATTATTAAGGGAGTTTGCAAATGTGATATTGATTTAATACAACAGTTCAATAAACAAGAAGTTAATATTAAGTGACTTACGCTGTCTGACTATAACACTGCTGCCTGATTTTGCTCTATTTTGTCAACGAAAATAGTTCCAAATAAAG